CAGGGGGCAGTCCCTGCCCGGGCCTGCTGGACACGCTGTCCCTGGTGCAGCCCGGGGGCCCTGCCCTTGGCCACCTGGGCAACCGCTGGCTCACTGCAGTGAGGAGTGGGCTATTCTGACATTCAGTGCGGTCTAGCAAAGGAAAAAGGGAAATTAATCAAAGGTAAAATAGGAAAAGGATGAGGAACAAGAATGAACAAGGTGAACTGATTCACCAGCAAGCCAGAAAGGTTTCTGAAAAGCCAAGTATAAAAATTGCTGCAGCCCGTGGCCAGGTTAGCCAAGAGCCACACACTAATCCACACAACAGCCTTGGCAGCATTACACTGATAATATTTTTGCAAGGTTAAATTAGTGCTGAACAATATTCCAGTATGCTGGGCACAAACATACTGATATTTTTATTAAGTGTCAAGCATGTACATATTCCTTTTTTCCTTCAAGAAAAACATTTGCCACAGTTAGTTAAAAGAAATTTTCCACGTGTCTCCTATTTGGGTATGTGTGAGTGCCAGCAGTGTGGGACCCTCCCTAGGGTCTGTGTGCCTGTGCCTGGTTTGTGAGACCTGGCCAGGGCAGATGGAGCAGGTACTGGAATGGCTGTAGGCTCCTTTTCAGTGCTGCTGTGCTGCCTGACAGAGGTTTGGATAACTCTTCCCCACCCTCTCCATCACCTTCACCACTGCACAGTTCACTAGGAGGATCCCCATACATACTTCAGTGGCAGTGAGAACCCACACTTGTGGTTCTCCTGTCTGAGGACTGCAGGTGAATTTACATATTTTGGCATTTAAGGATCATGCACTAGTCATGTGACACACACACACATCTTGCACACAATCCCTCAGCCTCAGCGACTGAGGGCAGAAATGCTCCCACAGATGATAGAAGACCAAAAATGAAGCTCCTCTGGAATGTAAGCTACAAAGCTTCAAGCTCTGACCACATGTATGTATCCTGTGAAAATGGCTTTATAATGTTCTGTTTGTTTGTTTCTATGATTTTAAATGGTCCAAAGGTGGTGCTTCCCACTGATGGTGGCTGAAATCTGTGTGTCATTTAGACAGGGGTAAAAGCTGTGCACTAAACCCCTAAACACTTATGGAGTGTACACAGCTACACATGTGCTCACACCCAGCAGTGAATGCATGGGTGTATAGAGACATATATTAATAGATGTATATCTGCATTTAAATTTTGAAAATCCCTAATGTTAACATTAAAAATACAATTTTTTTTTTTAAAGAAAGCTGTAGGAATATTAAAGGAAGTCAGTTTATTGGCATCTAGCATGCATGGGTTCAGATATCTCAGCCTTTAATAACATTAGGTGATTAGTGTTGAAAGACTAAAGCTAGTCTGAGGACACCATGTGATCCAACAGGTAGGTATCTACCCAAGTGTCAGGAGTCCAGATTGAAACTGTTTGTGGGGAAGTCAGTAGGAAAAGTTCAGGGGACTTGTCTTCTAACTTCAGTCTTACCCCTCAGTTGGTATTTATCTGCATTGTGGCCTTCTACAAGTTGTTTTTCCTTCTTTTAATTTCATCTTGTTTTCTCTCCCATCTATCACCTGCCTTATCTGCAGGTACAGAGAAGTATTGAGGGCTCTGCCTGCCTTTTTTTGTGTGTTGAGTACTGAGACCTGAATTTTGATCAGGCCATGTGATACTGTCTTAGCAATAGTAGCATACTGGCACAGTAATGGACAAGTGATAAGCAGTTATCAGCAAGGTCTTTTCAAATTTGAACAGAAATTTAGGGGTTACTAAACATTGGGTATTTTAAGAGTGCATCCCCTTTCAGATGACTCTTGTACAAAATCCTGCATTAACATCTTAAATTTTAAAATAAACAGTAATATCAGAAATTCCTTTCCTTCACTATAAACTGTACATCTTCTATTTTGTAAAAGTACTGGTGCTAGACAATAAGACATTTACCCAAATTCTTCTTGTTTTTAAAACTCCTCTAAATTACCCCAAATGGTCTCAAACTGCACTGAAATGCAATGGTAATTTGAATTTCAAGTCCTTTTGAATTTCAAGCTGTAAGACAGTGACTGCAAGACCTGGAAGACAAATTCGAGGTTACAGACTGCTGGAGAGAAGAAGGGCACAGGAAAGGGCAAATGAGTTATTTGAATGTCTAAGTAGGATTTTTGCATTTATAAAGGCCACTAACGATCCAGAGAACCACAAATAGTAACTGCAGTATTTAGCTTCAGGCTCTTCTTAAAGTCTCATGTGACAAAGAGCACAGAAATTTCCTCTCTCCTGACCATAACAGAATTATTCTTTTTTGTCTTTGCCATGTTCATTGTCTTCTGTATGGAAAATAATGGGCACTAAATCCAAAAACTAATGAAAAAAAATTTATATGACCAAAAACTGAGAACGAATGGAAACTGTTACACACATCAAAACACATTGAAAGTGCAAGTAGAAACGAACAAATGTTATGAAATCTCATCAGTTTTTGTTAGCCTGATCCTGCCCCTTTCAAGTCAGTGGCAAAAACCATCAAGTGTCAGTGGGAGCTGTGTTTTATTTCACTGAGACATATTAAAATTTGGGATGTACATTTGTACTCTCTTTAGCATTTGTCCTCTTCTTCATGATGGGCACCTCTCTTTACTCATAGATCTTGTGCTGCACCTGGTTGTGGTGTTTGAATGGGAGCAGTTCCTCTGGTTAGAATAACGGGTCGTTGTGCACACCTGAAGGGTTCCATAAATAACTGAGGGCAATGACAGCATTCTGGAGAAATGGAAAGTACTGCTTCACCAGGGTGCTCTGAGATGGGCTGTGGAGAGAGGAACTGCCAATCCCTTCTGGGCTCTATAAGCCCCTGTGTAGTTTTCACCTGTATGATTTTGCTGTCCTTATTTACACAGTTGTTCTCAGCTTTGCTCTCTGCTGTATTTTGAACCATTTGTGATTTAGAGGCAGATGTATGAGCAAGATCTGAGCAGCAAATCCAGTTTGGGATTGTTCTTGATGCTGAAGAAGTATGGATTTGAAAGTCATCATAAGGCAACTACCATGTTTTGACAGTAGAGATGAATTACTGCTGCAGGAACAACACTTT